CCCTCCACTCCCCTCCCCTCCCCTCCCCTCCCCTCCCTCTTCCCTCCCCTCTCACTCCCCCTCCTTTTCCCTCTCCCTTCCCCTTCCCTCTCACTCCCCCTCCTTGTCCCTCTCCCCTCCCCTTCCCTCTCACCTTTCCTTTCCTCCCCTCTCGCTCCCTCTCGCCTTCCCTCTTCCTCCCCTTCCCCTTCCTTCCCTCCCCTTCTAGTCCTCACACCGTCCTGCCCTGTGACACCTCTTCTCCTCAGTCCCCTGGGCTTGTTACACATTGGACTACTGATGCCTACAGGAAGGCGCTTTTGGGCTGCCTCCCCTCCAGCTTCAGGATGGCCTGGCACGGAGTAGGCTCTGCTGGGCATCTCTCTTAAGTGACGGCCTCCTGGCCAGGAGCTCTAGCAGGTGCAGCAGCGGTCTCTGCGGCCCCTGAGGAGGGTCCCCTGCCTCTGCTCTGACTGGCAAGGCCTGGGGGCGGGGGCAGAGAAGGGGACTGTCCGAAGTCGTTTGCACAGTAACAAGTGACACGTATGGCCCGTGTCCTTTGGGACCTGACACAGACCGTGTAGGGGACCATTTGGGCCGTCACCTCTGCCCCTTCCTCTGACTTTCTCCCACTTTCACGGAACCCTGGCCTCTCAGGAAGAGCCAGTGCATTTGTAGGGAAAGATCTGGACCTTGTGGAATTGGAGTAAGAAGCCTGCAGCAACCACAGCCTGCAGTCTGCCCTGGGCTGGGGGTGGGGGAGGCAGGCAGGGAGGCCTGAGAGGGAGGCGATTTTCAGGGTCTGTGCCCTTTTCCGTTGGGCTGGAACAGGAGAGAGAGGTGAGGAAAGACCTGAAGGCTGGTGTGATGCCAGCCATAGAGGGCACTACATGCCAGGCAGAGACTGAAGCTCATTCAGAAGCAGTGCCTTTCAAGAGGCTAATTCAAGAGGCTACCACCACCTAGGCCAGTCAGGGGGAGACAAAGCCCTGGACCAGGGGGCATTTTAGGGTTGCAGATGCAGGGGTGTTGTCAAGGTGGGATGCCCAGGGCCTGGCAGCTGACAGGTGGTGAGGGAGGAGGAGGCCCAGACAGGTGGTGCCCAGGTAGAGTGGGAGGGAAGCCTCGTGAGTGTGAAAAGCTGAAGAAGTCAACGGGAACCCGGTCTGCACCGTGGCCACAGGATGCAGGGATGACGCCCCGCAGTGCCAGGCTGTGGCTGTTGCTCACACCCTCGAGAAGCTTAGCGCTGAAGAGAGGGGACAGTTGGAATGGGAAGAGGGGAGAGGTGGTTTCTGAATTAAAAGGAAAGGGAAAGGGCAGTTTTTTCAAGATGGTGGGAAGGAGGTGGGGGGATGGGAGATACTTGTCTGAGAGGGAATGAGTTCAGGGACAGAGTCCTGATGAGGATGATAGCCATGGTGCTGGCAGAGAGCTGGTGTAGTCCTGAGGACTGTGGGCTGAAGGGAAGGTGGGACGGGAGGGTGGCCGTGGCAGAGAGCTGGCCGTTGGGAAGGAGCTGCCCTGCGCAGACTGCCTGGGCAAGAAGGGCATGCCATTGGTTTGTCTCAGGTGAAATCAGTGCAGGCTCAGTACAGTCTGAAACAGATGCCCTTAGGGGCTCCAGAAGTGCTCAGCAGCCCAGGGGGCACAGCAGCGCCCTCCAGTGCTCGAAGTGCCTAAGGGAATCTGGGGGGGGGAGGGCGGAAAGACTGGAGGCCCACTTTGGGATCCCAGCTGGGATGGAGGAGCATAAAGCCAGGGGCTTGGAGGTGGCATAGAAGGATGAAGGTAGGCTCCGGGTGAGCCTAAGGGAGGATGCTGGGTTTGGAGTTGGGTTGGGAGGGTCTCGACTGATTCAGTAGCCCCAGAGTTCAAGGTGAGGTTGCTGGGGGGCCCAGGCTGATGCCACTTAGCTGTGTGGTTGGGCAGATGGGTAGGCATTGAGCCAGCTCGGAGAGTCACTGGAAAACTGAGGGCTGAGCTGGAGGGTGGTCAGCACCAGCCGGGAAGCTGGCCAAGGGGCATCCCCCAGAGAGAAGTCCAGAAGGATGCCTGGAAGGCTCTGCAGGAGGCCTCTGACCCTGGCTCCCCCCAGATCTCTCTCTCTTCCTGGGGCCTTTTTCTTTGACTCCAACTCAAAGAGTTGAAGACAGCTTAGCGCAGCGTCAACTGAGTGCTTTTGCTGGAGGGTAGAATTTGTTCTTGTCTACTGGTGGTTGTGGTCTGGATGCTCAGACCAGCCCATCCTCAGGGGTTCACAAGGCCAACACGTCCGTTTCTGAATGGGCAGCAATACCCTTCCCTTGCCCCCCATCAGGGGCCAAGTTCAGACTGTGCCAGGGCAGGTGGGAGCCTACACTGGGCTTCTGCAGGCCAAGCAGGCTCCTAGCCCATGAGGCTTCCCCACAGACACTGCCGGACCCCTTTCCTCTTGTGCTGGGACCAGCCCTCCCGACTCATTTTCGTGGGAGCTCTGGGGCAGGTGCAGTGCCTCCGTCTTGGGATGGATGCGCCCCCAGAGGCAGTGTGCTCAGGAATGAGAGACCTCACTGCCTTCCACGGGACAGCCTGTGCCGTTCCATGGTGGGGCTCACCTGCTTTGCATGTTCCAAAGTCCTCAGGCCAGGCCTGGCACCTCTCAGGAGAGGGTATGACAGCCCCCTGGGGCAGGCTGGGAAGATGGCTCCTCACTCTTCCTTTCCTTCATTCCTGCAGAATTTCCCTCTCCCCGACGATTTCAGCCCCAGTAGCACAAGCTCGGCTGACCTTAGCGGCCTTGGGCCTGACCCCAAAGCTCCAGGGCTTTCCAGATCCTTGGCCCTGTCGTCAGATGAGGTGTGTGTGGCTTCCTGAGTCCAGCCCCAGCTCCTGATGTGGGTTGGGGGGTGGAGGAAGGAGGGTGGGCTTGGAAGGTCAGATCCCTCCTGGGCCCCCCCCCCCCACACTGCATGTGTGCAGAGTGACTCGAACCCTGTTCTGAAAACTCTTCTTTCCTTTCCTTCACGCTCGCACTAAGAGCCTGGATATGATCGATGACGAGGTGAGAGCTCTGGTCTGTGGGGGTGGGCCGAGAGGGAACCCCAGGAGAGGGGCCGCTTCCTGCCCTCAGAGAGTCAGGACCTTCCCTTGGGAAGAAGGTCCATGTAGAGTGTTCTCATGAGCTTCATCTTGTTGGGTCAGAGTGGCTCCAAGGCCCCTCTTCTCCGGCCTCCTCTTGGGCCTCTACCCTTGTCCCCACACTCTGTCCCCAGCACGAGTCCTCTTGGGCACTGACTTTTCTGGGTGCCTCATTGCTTATCTCACCTTCCTCATCTCTGCTCCTGGCAGCCTCCTCTCCC